ACAGACCACTGCTTCCTTGGACCGGGAGGTTCTTGTTTCTATTCCCACCAATTCCACTGTTCACGAGGGTGTTGAACAAGATTGTGCATCAAAGACCAGATTGCATTCTAGTGATCCCATGGTGGCTGTACCAGCCCTGGTTTCCACTTCTTCTTAGTCTGTCGAACAAAGTCTTCCTTCATTTTCCGTGGGTGCCGGACTTACTGCTGGCATTCGGAGGTCAGGTCCTTTACCACAATGTGCCACATCTCAATTTGACAGCTTGGAGGATACACAGGGAGGCTTTTCTGACAGAATAACTATGGTCCTCCTCAATAGTAGGAAACCATCCACTCGCTCCTCCTATCGTTATAAATGGGAGCAGTTCCTCCAGTTTTTAAAGCCCTTTACGGGAGACCCCACCTCAGCTGGCCTACCCTATGTATTTGACTTTCTACTATCTTTAGCAGATGCAGGGCTCAGTCACTCCTCTTTGAGGGTTTACTTGGTGGCAATCTTTGCCTTCATACGCAACTGGACAATACCTCAGTTTTCTCTCATCCTGACTCTAAGAGGTTTCTGAGAGGATTGTTACACCTTTATCCTCCAACTAAACTACCAACTCCACCATGGGATCTTCCCCTGGTCCTGCGGTGTCTTACATGTAAGCTGTTCGAACCCATGGCTTCATGTGACCTGCGGCTCCTGCCCTGGAAAACTGCGTTCTTAGTGGCCATTACATCTGTGGGACAAGTGAGTGACCTTTTTGCCACGACACTCCCTACCTGAGCTTACTCCCTGATGGGATGGCTTTGTTGCAAGATATTTCCTTGCCAAAGGTGGTCTCAGACTTTCACTTGAATAAACAGGTGATATTACCAATCTACCCCAATCCACAGACGGACATTGAGTGCCTGTGGCATACTCTGGACATGAAGCAGGTGCTCTTATTCTATCTGCATAGGACACGTTTGGCTCGCAAGGACCCGCACCTGTTTGTTTCATATCCTCCAAGTTCTATGGGGTTTAAAATGTCAACACAGAGACTCTCTAAATGGCTGGTTGAGACTATTCGCTTCTGTTACCTCCTGGAGAAGAGACCCCTACCTGTCGCATCTAGGGCTCATTCTTCCCGGGTGATCTCCACGTGATCTTTCTGTAAGGAGTGCCCCTGCAAGATAATCTGCCACTCCGCTTCCTGGGCATCTCCAAACACGTTCATCAAACACTACCCCTTGATGTTCGTGCTCATCAGCGTTCCTGACTGGGCCATTCAGTGCTGCAATCTATGGTCTCCTAAGATGCTGCCAGTACCCTTCTCCAGGTAGGCCTAAACTTCTTAATCTCCCATAGGTGTGATGCATAGAGGCCACGACGAAGATAAACAGTTTGCTTACCTGTAACTGATTATCTTCGAGTGGTCATCTGTTCATTCACACCACCCGCCCTCCTTCTCCTCTGCTGTCAGCCTTTCACATTTACTTTGTTACTGAGAGGTTGCAGTGGTCAGAAGGAACTGGTGGGATACTGGAGCCCCGCACCCGAGCATGTGTGCTGGAGTTCCTGTGCATGCTTGGGGGAGGGGCTAAAAATCCCTCTTTGAGCTTGATAGAAGTTTCCCGGATCGAGGTCAGCGCAGGTGCCTTAACCCATAGGTGTGAATGCATAGGTGACCACTTGAAGATCATCAGTTACAGGTAAGCAACCTGTTTTTAAGTACCACTGGTAAAATGTTCTATACTTACTTTCTTCAATAGTTGTAGAGAAGGTGATTCACTTACTTTAGCTCTGTAAATACAACATATGTAGATCAATCTATAACTACAACTAGATAAACCAATCTCTGATATTAAGACACCTGCTAAATTTTAGGAGTTGGCTTTGTCTCTGGGGAGGGCTGTTGTCTGAGAAGGAGAACATCATAAGAAGATCCCTGCTGGATCACACCAGTAATCCATCTAGTTCAGCATGCTGTCTCACACAGTGGCCAACCAGTTCTCTGGAGGGCCAGCAACAGAGCATAGAGGCTGAGACCTTCATCCTGCCTCCCAATGTGGAGTTTCCCTTTAGTCAACATGGCTAGTAGCTGCTAATAAAGTCCCCATGAATCTGTCTAATCCCTTTTTAAAAACTATCCATGGCAGTGGCCATCACTACATCCTGTGGCAGCAAATTCTACATTTTAATTGCTTGCCATGTAAAGTATTTCCTTTTGTCTGTCCTGAGTCTACTGTCCATCAACTTCATTGGATGCCTTTGAGTTCTAGTATTTTGTGAGAGGGAGGAAAATTTCTCTCTTTCCATTCTCTACCATGTACATAATTCTATAAACCTCTGTTATGTCTCTCCTTAATTGTCTCTTTTCTATACTGAAAGTCCCAGACTCTTCACCCTTTTATTCCACGGTATGTTGTTTCAACCCGTTAATTATCTTAGTTGTATTCTTCTGTACTTTTTACAGCCTTGCAGTTTCTTTTTTGAGATACAGTAAGCAGAACTGCACACAGCATTCCAAATGAGGCCGCACCAGAGATCTGTACATGAGCACTATAATGACCCTTTTATTTTCCAGTCCCTTTCCTAATAATCCCCGGCACAGAGTTGCCTTTTTCACTATTGTGGCATATTGGGCTGACATTTCAATTGAGCTCTCCACTACAACCCCAAGATCTCTTTCCCTCTCACTCTCAGCAAGTTCAGACTCTATTAGCATATACCTGAAGTCTGGAGTTTTTGTTCCACCATTCATTACCGTACACTTGCCTACACTGAACTTTGGTTCCCACATTGTTGTATACTCACCCAATTTGTAGAGATTCTTCTGGAGCTCTTCACAGTCGGTTTTCACCATCCTGAATTATCAGGTGTCTTCTGCAAACTTGGCCATTATACTGCTGAGTCCCAGTTCCAGACTTTGAAACAGATTGAGGTACACCTCTCTGAGTTTTCTTAACCTTAATTGTTGTCTGTAAAATGAATATTTCTGTTTGCATACTTTTTTAGAATGACTTACCAGATTATTTCTTAAATCCATGTATTAAATTGGATTCTGTTTTCATTGTTTTACTTAATCAAAAGAGATAATGAAGTCTTTAAAATATACCAGGATGTTAAGTTGTTCTGGAAAATGACATCTACTTTAGTAGAAATTGTAGAAGGTTTAATAATACACTAAGAGCTGGTGATTAATAAGGAATTGCTCCTCTCATATGCACATATCCCTCCAGGGGGAGAACAAGCTGATGTCCCTTTTCTTTTTTCTCTTTGACTGACGCTCTGCTGCTCTCAACATTCTGTCCCTTCTGGATCACACCAAGTTTTCCTCAGGCCATTTTAAAAGAATTTTTTTCTTTCGGTAAATTTCCAAAGTAATATTATTTTTCATACCTGGGGAATTCCCAAGGTAGGTATCCCTACCATGTCTGTAGGAGGCCCAGTTTTGCCTTATCCATAACTTGTAGAGAGATCTATAATTTATTCTTGGATATAAATAAAATACAAGAACTCAAGTGCATCCAGTGAAGCTGATTGACACTAAATTCAGGACAGACAAAAGGAAATACTGCTTTACACAGTGAGTGATTAAAATGTAGTATTTGCTGCCAGAGGATATAGTGATTAGGCAGATTCATGGAGGGTAAGTCTATCAGCAGCTACTAGCCATGTTGTCTAAAGGGAACCTCCACACTGAGAGGCAAGAAACCTCTGAATACCAGTACCTAGAGGCAACATCAGATGAAAGGCTAGGTCTCCATGACCTCTTGTTGGCCCTCTAGAGAACTGGTTTGCCACTGTGTGAGACAGCATGCTGAACTAGATGGACTACTGGTCTGATCCAGCAGGGCTCTTCTTACGTTCTTATGATATAGTGATAAAGATTTATTATTTTCAGATACCACCTCTTTATATTTAAATACACTAGAGACTAGTGTTCCCTCTAAGGTGAGTTAGTGTGATCTAGCTCACCGTTTTTTAGCCTCTGGCTCACAAATTTTTGTCTTAGCTCAGGAAGGATGGCTCCAGAGCAAACTAATTTATGCAGTAGCCAAATCGCTCACTCACAACTTTAATGCCAGTAGCTCACAAAGGAGAATTTTTGCTCACAAGACTCCACAGCTTAGAGGGAGCATTGCCAGAGACTAAGGCTGCAGGAAATTCTATGGGTAAATGATAAATAGAGCTAAAATAAGAATATATAAGAGAACCTGTTGTAATTAATTTTCAAGACTTTGAAGTATGCTTCCTCATCTTGGGACACACAAAAAGCATAATTCACAGCATAATCAAGTGCTTTAAAAGTGCAGACATTGGAACATAGATCCTGAAGTATCATCTCCCAATTTTGAAAACAGTACTATTAGGTGATATTAAAACATGTTTATCTTTAGGTAGGTGTTGGATGGATGCATTGGAACTAGCTTTGAAATGTTCAAGTTTGCTGAAGCGTACTATGATTAGAGAAGGCAAAGAACATGAGCTGAACTCATCAACAGACGTTCCACACGTCTCTCTCTATGGCCTCTTGCGTGCAAACAATGTACATAGCGGTGAAAACTTCCCGTAAGTAGGCAAAATTTTTAAATTTTATTCTTTTAAAAATTATCCTGAAGCCTGTTTAGAGTAAAACTGGCAGTTTTGTGCAAGACTTTTCATATGTAGTAGTTTTTTTGTCCTCAGTGTTGCAGTAAGCTATGGTATAAGTATAGTGCATACTTGCTGATTTTTTCACCTTTAAAAAGCTAACTGTATTTATCATTCAGCATCTTGCTCTAGTGTTTTTGTGGCAAGATGTTTTTGTGCTTCTCTGCTTCTGTGACCAACTGTACAAAACAATTTTGTTTTTATAAATGTTTTCTTCCAAAAGTTTCAGAATAGTTTAACAGTACAAATATTCTGTGTATCATATAATAGCATCTAAAACTCAAGTTTTGTAGCATCCTTTCTGTTTAGCAAATCTAAATCAAGAATTCATGAGGACCCTCAAAACACCCACAAGTACAGTTGATACATCAGCATATTGTTGAACTAATTGTTGTAATAGAATGTCCAGTTCCTTCCAATTCCCGTTTAGGGTATCCCTCGCTGTGGGGGAAGAGTAAGATAAACTATGTACTGTGCCATCTGCCATTAACATCTGTGAATATGTACGATTTTATATATTGTGATTTTAATTAATTTGTGTTTTATTGTATGTCAGTGTTTTAGCAGATATATTTATATATGTATATTGTAAGCCGCCCTGAGCCTGTCTTGGCAGGGAAGTGTGGGATATAAATTTAACAAATAAATAATAAAAATAAGTGGGATTTAGAGGATATTTCTTTAACTCTGACCTGTAATGATGAGGAGATCAGAGTGGCCAGACCCACTGAAGGACAACTCTTTTTGTTAACTTTAACCATGTAATGGAAATAGGCCCTATAACCTGGAAGAAATATTAGTATTAAATTAAAATGCCTAAGATACTCAATTATAATTCCCTTCTCACTCTTATTGTCCCATCCTGCCACGTTCTATGATAGCATTTTGACCCGATTCTTACTTTTAGATGTAAAATTATGTCATTCTATCTGCGAAAGGAGGCCAGAGATGTTGGGGGGGGGGACATTTCTGATCATTGCCCTTCTCAGCTTCTACCTTATTTATTACTGACTGGATAATTTCCCTTCCCCTGTCATGTCCCTTTCCTCCTTATATCCATTAGTAAAGGATACAGTGTTTGGGTGGCGCTTCAGAATTCAATAGGTCCACTGATGTCACGTTCTGGATTCCATTCTCTAATCCTTTGATTAAAGGTGCCTTTAGATCTAACTTTATTAACAGAGATTGGCTCTTCCCAAATACACCTTGCAAGAGAGTCATGTTTTTGTCTCTCCAATTGGCTGTGTTCTCTCTTTGCTGATTTAGAAGATTGGTGGCCAGTTCAAGAGTTTTGCGCAGTTCCCGTAATCGACTTATCAAATGTTCTTGCTCAGGGTGAAGAAGATGTCTAATAGAGACATCAAGTAGGGTATATGAGACATAATCCATTAAGGAATTCTTGGTGAATAAAACTGAAGCAGGTAATGATCGTTTCTATAAGAAACTGGGAATTTGTCTATGGATTTTAAGTCTATTGAGACGTGGACAAAATCGAGAGGGTGCAGAAGAGAGCAACGAGGATGATCAGGGGTCTGGGGACTGAGCCCTACAAGGAAAGGCTAAGGGCCTTGGGAATGTTAAGTTTGCAGAACAGGAGATTGAGGGGGGACATGATTGCTCTCTTTAAATATTTGAAAGGCTGTCATTTGGAGGAGGGCAAGGAGCTGTTCTAGTTGGCAGCTGAGGATAGGACCAATGTTCCTTTTAAGCTGAGTTAGTGTGAGCTAGCTCACAGTTTTTTAGCTTCCGGCTCACAGATTTTTGTCTTAGCTCAGGAAGAATGGCTCCAGAGCAAACTAATTTATACAGTAGCCAAATTGCTCACTCACAACTTTAATGCCAGTAGCTCACAAAGGAGAATTTTTGCTCACAAGACTCCACAGCTTAGAGGGAGCATTGGATAGGACCTGAAGCAACGGGTTTAAATTACATGCAGAAAGGTATCACCTGGATATTAGGAATAACTTTTTCACGGTCAGAGTGGTTTAAAGGTGGAATCAGCTGCCTAGGGAAGTGGTTAGCTCCCCTTCACTGACAGCTTTCAAGAAGGGGCTGGACGAATATTTGTCAGAGATGCTTTAGGCTGGTCCTGCATTGGCCAGGGGGGTTGGACTAGATGGTCTGTATGACCCCTTCCAACTTTATGATTCTATAATTCTATGAGATGACGTTTAAATTAAGCAAAAAGCCCAATTTTTCTTTGCTAGTGACTATGGAAACCAACATTGGGAGTTGTATGGTAAAAATATTAATGCAACTCTATATGGGTCCAGGGAGAATTGTGATTCCTTACGTCTCTCTGATGGTATTCCCATTGGTCACCTCTCCCAATTGATAAGTTTACTTTTGATTGACTAGTGGAAACCACTCCCTCTCTAATACCGAGTCATGATTTTGTGAAGAAAGTTCATCCCGTTTGCAGTAAATCTTTTTAAAGGGATTGCCAATTAGTAAAGTCTGATTAGTCAATAGAGCAAATTTTTTGTGTGGCCATGTGTACATTTGACATTTTCAAAATTCCTATTGCTCATCTCTTCCAAAGCAGCAATATCAGTATCAAGGAGTACAGGGAATTTGAAGATAAATCACCTCCTTTAATTTCAGCATTAGGGGCAGATATATCATTTTACAAAACTGCAAAATTGTTTGATGTTGGAACAGAAAAATTATGGAAAAAATCATCTAATTTGCTGTGTCTGTAAATTGGCACCCTTCTTTTCTTTCCCATTATCAAATTGATAAAAGAAGAAAGAACAAATGTACTAATATACGTATATCTGTCTCGATGTGTCAATATAATATCTCTCCTATTATATAAAAGGGTAGTGTCTGGCAACATTCTATGCTTGCCAAAATCAGTTGGCTCCATGATGTGTCAATCACAAGGTGTCTCTATCCAATGGCTGCGTTGCCTGAGTTCTCTCCCACCGCATCCTAGGCCACTCTTCTCTGATTGGGCCAGCATTTCAAGGTCATTTGCATATGGAAGCTGATTGAACTTCACTCCATTCTGCACCTCAAACTCTCCCCCCCCCCATGAGACAGTTGGAACTGTCAGTTGCATATGCGACCTGGTGTATTCTGAGGTAAAATATGTCCTTACCCACAACACATCAGTTCCCCTTCAAAAGAAACAAATCCAAAAACACAACCATGCCACACCACAAAAAAGACAGATCACACCACAAACAGAATACCACAAGGCAAGAAATGATAGGAAAAGGTGCCAGCAGTCACCCCATTACCGCCACAGATATGTACCAGAGAGCGCTTCAGAGGATGGTGTGCAGGTCCCAGGTTCATGTTATGAAAGCTGCCTGGGGGATTATGGCCTATTCACAGACTTTCTACCTTAACCTACCTCACAGGGTTGTTGTGCAGATCATACAGGGGAGAGGAGAATGATGTCAGCTGCTTTGGTTCCCACTGTAGGGAA